CTTTGCAAAAGTTTTCTTGGTTCTTTTTCCTTTTTTTTTTTTTTAACCAATAAAAAAGTTAGGAGTGTTTCTATGATTATGCTAGAATAGTAGGGTTCTATGCTCCACTGAGCAATGTTACACAAATTAAGTGTTGGGTTACAGTGCACTAATTATAAACACATGAAAGCTCTATGGAGACATTCCTTTGCAAACTGGAAGGTAGACTACAGCTTAGTGAGATAGTTTAAATTATTGAAGTATATTCATGGGCAGATGGTGATTCTTGCCCTTAATTCATAATTGAAAATATATAGTAGCAAACATAAGACTCAAACCTTAATTTATGTATATTTACATGCATAATTAATTTAGAAATGTCATTTTATTGAATGCCCACTATATACTATTGGTAATATGCATAATTTTCCCAGGAAATTTTGATATTTGGATTTACATATTTATTCAATATTTTAGAAAATATAGCCTCTTCTTTTTTAAAAAAAATATATTTTATTGATTTTTCACAGAGAAGAAGGGAGAGGGATAGAGAGTTAGAAACATCGATGAGAGAAAAGCATCGATCAGCTGCCTCCTGCACGCCCCCCACTGGGGATGTGCCCGCAACCAAGGTACATGCCCTTGACCAGAATCGAACCTGGGACCCTTGAGTCCGCAGGCCGAGGCTCTATCCACTGAGCCAAACCGGTTCGGCTGGCCTCTTCTTTTACAATGAATTATATGTAATTAAATCTGTGTCATTTCTAACATGATTTTTCATTCTCTTATTTGCATCACTTGTATTCTTTTAAATGGCTTGCCAAATAACTTTAAGGTATTCGTTAACCTACCTCATGTTTTTAGTAGGTCTTTCAGACCCAAAAATGATAAATAAGAGATAATCAAATGACTTAATACAAACAAAATGAGTCATATTAGAAAATTATTTTGAAGAGGAGTTTGGGCAGTCATCATAGGAGAAAGAGCCAGAGCTTGATAATTTTTTATGAGGGGGTCTCATATAGGTTTTTTAACTTTTTAAATTCATTTCAGAGAGAGGAAGAGAGAGGGAAAGAAGGATAGAAATATCAATGATGAGAGAGAATTATTGATTGGCTGCTTCCTGCACACTCCCTACTAGAGACCAAGCCTGCAACCCACGCATGTGCCCTGACTGGTGATCAAATCTTGACTTTCTGGTTCATAAGTCAATGCTCAACCACTGAGCCATACCAGCTGGGCACATATAGGGTGTTTTTTATTTTATTTTTTTTAGTTATTTTTTTCTTTATTGATTAAGGTATTACATATGTGTCCTTATCCTCCCATTGCCCCCCTTC